ATCCTTCTTGGCTACCTAAGCTTTTCCTTTATTAAAGATACTATGGATATCCAGCTACGAAAGGTAATATCAATGTAATACATTACTTTATTAAAGCCAATAAGCTCAATACCTAGTAACCTTCCCTAAAAGAGAGCCGATAGCCCATGTTGCCTGTGCTCAATTTTTTTTCTTTTAGTCTAAGAATTTATTTCATTTAAAAAAATTATAATAAAAATAACAATAATAATATGCGCTTGCATGTATTTTGATCAGAGGTATCTATTGATGATGCACTTAGTTAACTTTGATGATACTCGTTTTTCTCTATACAAAATAATAGCTTTCTATTTATTTTATATTCAGTGTATACAGACGCTATTCATGGAACGCTGATAATTACATTTCCGACATTCATTGTTTTTGTTGTTTGATTTGAAAAAATCTGCACTTTTAGAAGCGTATGGTGACGGTGCTCCATCATATCCCAATTGTCGGTGTTCGTTCCAACGGTTTAAAAGTGGTGAAAAAGAACGGCCTGAAAGAGCAAAAAAGTCCGACGATAATTAATTGTCAGACTTAATACACGAAACCCCAGTTCGCACTCTCAAAAATCTGTCGAACAGCTTAGTAGTTGCAGAATCAACTGTTTCTAAACGTTCACTTGCGATGGGAGAGATCCAAAAAAACGGAGAATGGCTACTAAACGACTTGAGTGAAACTTGACTTGACTTGAAAACAGCGCTTTGATCGGTTTGAACATAGCCGGGTTTTCCGTGGGGTATTGCGACTGCTGATGAAACGGGGACCTACTACGTCAATCCTAAGTGCAAAAAGTCATGGGCTAGTCCAAGAGACTCATCCACATCGACGCCGACGGAGAGTATTCGTGGCCACAAAGTTTTGCTATGCATATGGTGGAATCAGCAAAGCTTAGTATATTATGTTCTGCTAAAATTGAATGTAACTGTTACTGCAGATGCCGTCCACGTCAATTGAACGAATTGAATGATATACTTTGGGAGATAAAACAAGCAATGGCGTTCTACAGAGGCAAAGTGATTCTATTGCATGGTAATGCTCGGTTGCGTGAGTTGTCAAGAACACACTGTTGTAGTTCGAATAGGCGGCTCTGCTGCATCCAGCCTGCTCACCACACACAGCTCATTCCGCTAACGAAATGAAAATGAGCCGATTATTGGATCGCTGTCAAACCAACATCGTTTTTCCGCAGGGTTTTGACCTATTGCCAGAAAGATGAGAAAATTTGTAGAGAATGATGGGATTTGAGCATTTTGATAAATATATATATTGCACCAATTTTTCTCAATAAAGTACTTCTTTAAGTAAAAAAATGATCAAAATACATGCAAGCACCTAATAACAATAATAATAATTTCCATTGGCGGCCATTTCCTTATAACATAGCATAATACGATAAAAGTTTTTCCTGGAAATATTGTAACATATTTAAGCGGGAAATTGTTGATAATGTTAATCTATTCCGTACACTTAGCATCAATGTTAAACATTTTGTTAAGAGAAACTATGAAAATTATCTTCACCTGAGGGCCTACTCAAATCTTCGCGATATATGAAAGATGCTAAATGCTATGATCAATAATGTTCATCGTCTACGGTGACAATAATCTGCAGGCGAAATCGAAAAAAAAAATGATAGAAAAAAGTTTGATTAAAAATAAAGAAAAAGTTTTAATTAAAGATGAGTGTAAACTTATAACTTTATTTTACATTTTATTAAAAAGTTAAATAAAATTGAAGCAAAAAAAAAGAAAAACAAGTAGAAAAGTTTTATATAACCTTAAGATGAATCATTGGTCTACACTATTCCGATTAAGACTTTCTATTTATTGTAAGAATTTCGGGTGATCGAGAAGGGTTTGTTTTTCAATCGTTCGTTTAGAGAGCGTTCGTCTAAACGCTATCTGCTAAAATTAGCAAGAAGAATTCCAGTGTAGGTGGATCAGATGCACGTTCGAATTTCATTTGTGACGCTGAACTGAAAGTATATATGTCATATATATGTCAAGTTTTTACTTTTTATCACAAAATCGTGTTCAATTTCAATAGAATTTGGGTACATTTTCAATTCAGGTAAATTTTATTGGTAAATCGCCATTGGAAATGAAGTTAGGAAGCTGAAATTTGGCACGAACATTTCCTAATCGATTAAAAATATGAGCTTCAAGAAATGGTGGTGATCTGTTTACGTACTTGCGCACAATGCAGAAGAAACTAAAACAATCTCGGAGAATGCTGAAAAGTAGTTGACATAGTATTTGGTTTCCCGTGAGAAGGTGTTTCCTCAGACTTCATAAAGACTGAACAAGTCTCACTTTCGAAAGTTCCTTTCGCATCCAAAAACGAATGAATGGACAAAAGGGTGGGTACATGCGATTGAACCTTTGGCGAAATGTAATGAAACGGATTTTATCTATACAAATTTTTCGATAACGATTGACAGAATCGACCATAATTTTCACTTCTAAAGCTGGAAAGACTGGGTTTTTCTGATACCATGGTACGGTTATTATTTCGTTAACATCTATCGGAACGTATGCAAAGAGTGTTGTTTAATTCATGTTATTCAAAACTGATTAAGATTTCACCTGGAGAGCTGCAGGAAAATCACCTTGGCCATATTTTAACGATATTTTTAAGTGATCTTCCTACTAATGTCTGCGAACGATGTAAAAATCTTTCGTTCATTTAACTCTATTAGTAAAGGGTGTGAAGATAAATTCGAATTTAACTAGTAAAGACACCTACCA